CTTCACCAGAGACAGAGCAGGGAGCAGAACAGGCAGATCGACGAAGTCCACTGCTGAGAGGAGCAGCGGGCAGGTCAGGAGAGGTCTGCCGCGCCATGTGGAATCACCTCCAGGGCAGCTGGGCATCGAACTCATGCTGAAGTGGCTTTAGCCTTGTTAGTGCTGTGCTTTAACCCGCTGAGCCACCGGGGAGGGCCCGCCCACATTTTTATTTTTAATATTTATTTATGCATACAAGAACTGGGGTACAAACCATAGGTGTGGGGGGGTGGTGAGAGGATTCACCAGAGGCAGAGTGGGGAGCAAAACAGGCAGATTGACTCAAATCCACTGCTGAGGGGAGCAGCAGGCGAGACAGGAGAGGTCTGCGGCGCCATGTGGGTCAGTTCCCTGGCCGGGGACCGAACTCGTGCAGAAGCTGCAGCTAGCTTCATAGTGCTGCGCTTTAACCCGTTGTGCCCCCAGGGAGGGCCCAGAATTTAGTTTTAAAAATGAGACTCCTCCATGCAACCCACTCTTGGGCAGGCCCACTGCTGGGATTAGACATTCGATGCTCTGTGCAGTGACTGGACCATTGTAAGTGCTGCTGTTACCATCAACATTGTGATGCTGTCGGGAAAGCGCTGAGACATTTGTCAGCAAGGGGCAGGGCCGGGGAATGCTAAGGCCTCAGTGTATCTGCACAATGTCTGCAAGGCAAAAACTTCAAGGAACAGCACCGGCTTCTCCTGGTCCATTTCTGCCCAGCACCTAGGCCCGACGTTGATCCAAACAACCAAGCCAGGACAACAAACACCATCTGTGTCAACCGTGGGATTTTCGTCATATCCTCACAGACTTCCTACCTGTTCAGGGGTTCAGTGCCGAAGTCCCGTCCACAGTAATGCTTGCACAAGCTGCTGGGCCAGCTTGATGCTGGGAAAGCCAGACTAAGACTGAGCCGACCTTGTGCAGCGGCTCCTAGAAGCACTTTCGGAGAATGGGGAAGTGAGACCGGGAAGGGAGGAAGCCAGTTTGGGGCATGACCAGGAACAGGGTGCTGCAGGGGGACGGTATGGTGTAGAACAGTTCTGAGCTGTCCCACCAGGAGTGTAAAGATGCTGGGTGCGTGCCCACTGAGTCCTGGGTGCCATTCAGAGCTGGTTGCCAGGGCTTCGGGCACCAGTATGCCAGGCCCGCCCTGAACATGTGGCCACAAGCCCCTGCAGCAGGAGAAAACCCTCGGGCAGAGTCCTGGGTCTGCAGGCTCCATCCTGCACCTGTACCCCTCTGCTCGGGGCCGCCCTCCTTGGTCCTGCTGTTCCCTCACACAATAGTCTGAGCCACCAGACACCACGAGTGAAAACTTTATTGGTCCCAGCATTTATGTGAATGTCACCAACACCAGGATACATAATATAAAAAGCACAAACTTCTGTACAATCGTTCTAACTTGTCCACTAGTGCCCAGGACACACGTCCCTGGCACGCTGGGGGCGTTTCAGGGGCAGCAGCTGCACTTGTCCGACGCCCCTTTGCAGATGCAGCCCCGGGCACACTTGGCACAGCCCGGGGGGCAGCAGGGACAGCAGCCTGGAAGGGTGGACAGACAGACAGGTCAGTTTGGGCTCGACGCTCCGTCCTCTCCAGCCCCTGCCCTCTCCTCCCAAGTTGACCAGAACATGCCCTGCACTTCAGTCCACAGCAGTAAACAACCTGGGGCAGGAAGTTGTGGGATTTTAGAGCTGGTGGGGTCTGGGGCGTCATCTAGAGCCCCCCAGAGGCTGGGGAGGGGAGGGGCTTGCCCAAGGTCATTGGACAGTGGCTCATTCAAGGTGAACACCAGGGCTCCGGGCCAGGGGGCCAGGACTGAGGGCCAGTGCTCTGCGCTCTGTGCCCTTCACCTGCGGCAGGACACAACCTCCCTTGGGGGCCGTTTCCTGCTCTAAACACCCCAAAAACCACTCCCTCCCTGGGGGCTGCAGTCCCTGGAGCTCAGCTCGACTTTCTTCCAGAGCGGTCCCAGCACCCAGCACGCCCTGAACCCCGGGTTGGGGGGGGCGCCTGGCAGGCTGGGGATGGCGGGAGCAGGTGTCCTGAGCTGCTGGTCCCTGGGGCCCAGCAACCACACTCACTTTTCCGACATGTTTTACAGTTGCAGGTTGTGCATTTACAGTTGTCTCCACAGATGCAGATGCCTCCTGGAAGAGTGGACAGAGATGCAGACATGAGGGGGGAGGGACGGGGGACACAGACTTCGAGCGGTGGAGCTGGGGTGAGG